CCGACAATAAATTTGGCAGGGCATTAGTTGCTTCCAAACATCCTTGGTTTGTATTTGGTATTATCAGTTAGGACCTATCCGTTAGGAACTATCGTAAAAGATAGTTCATTTTTTCAGATGCAGTGTTTGCAGTATAAATAATGCTAATCATGTAATAGTAAGAATAGTGGCAATAATAATTAAAGAAAGTGAAAATAATAATAACTTATAGAAAAACATGACTTCAAAACAGAATAAGAAAGAAGAATATCAAATGGACAGCAAATTTTTAAAAGTACACAAATACAAACCAATGCATAGTTTCGAATTGCTAGGATCAACATGAAAGCCATCAGCGCAAGAACACTGGAAGGGCTGACAACCAATGGAACCATTGCAGCCAGTTGAGAAGCAAAACTGCGAACAGCCGGCATTCTCGTACGAACACGGTGAACTTGCTGCAAAAGGCTAGCATATTATTATCCCATTTCAGCAGTCAGTTCGTTAAAAAAATGTGGGTATTTTCAATGTGATATTGAGCCACACATAAATGCACACATACGCGTACCTTCACAAATACATACGCGGATTATGTTTCATAGAAAATTCACCAAATTTTTAAGTCGACGATGGAGCTCCTCATTCGAACTCACTCGTTACAATAAGTCCGGAACCATGAAATCAGGTCTCCTCTTTTTCGCTTGTTTCTTTTTACCAACTAACTGTTAATTACAGCTAAACTCTGGAACAACGGTGCTTACGCAGCTGTGTGTTCGAATCATAGATGTGAAGTTCGAAAAGCGGCGAATAGTCAGTGAAAACGGTAATAGGAACACCGACCGCACCACTCCTGTTTACTTCCAGACGATTTATCCGCGATTCCGAAAATTCACTCCAAAACAGAAATGTCTCGTGAAATGCTAGTCCGTACGGATGGTTCAACGCTCTGCCTTGCAAAATTACCTGCAAGAATGTCGCTGCAACCGTTTGGAAGGTTAATTGCTCATTGGGCTGTGTTTCGTTACAGCTTACAAATTTATGATTTTATTTAAGTAGGTGCAAAGCTCCTTAACACCATCACTTCCGGTGAGGGCTTTCAACTGAAAAACGCAGCTATCTTCTGACCGTTCTATTTCTGTGAGACAACAAGACGATTTTGCACTCAGCTGCCATTTACCTGTCCGATCGGCTTGCAACCAAAATAATTTTCAGCTTACTTCTTAGGAATTTTAGTACAGGATGGAATGTCTTCAATCAATCCACTGAATTTCTACTGCTAAAACTTGTGCAGAAAGAAGCCAAAAGTATTCGCTGCTTTCAGACGAAAGAAATTTGGCTGGCAGAAAATTTCTATTCATTACGAGTTTGGATATATGAGCATCCACTTCTTCAAGCGTATAGAAAATCTACGTCAACTTCTCGTGCGGATATGCAGCTGGCAACGGGAGCATTTCTGTAGCAAAGAATAGCCTGGAAAAGAGATGTAGGCGGGTGGCTTGCATACTCCATTTGCAATGGTTTTATAAGTTGTACTAAACATTGATGATAAGGAACTAATCACAATTTTTATTTTTTTTCAGGACGGAATTTTCTTTTCGTTCAGCTTAATTTCGGCTGCTACCAAAAGTAGCATAATATGAGTCAAACACGAATGATATGCTAAAGGTGCTCATCGTATCTTCGATAAAATCCAGCTCAGTACAGCACTCTCAGGCGAACAATGAAATGTAGCTAACTTGTCGTTCGGCACCATTGAATCTGACGCGTTCAATTTTGTCGTAGTAAGCATCGCACCAATACAACCATTCGTTTGCGTAATCGAGTGCCAGTCCGTTCGGCCAGTGGATACTGCGGCTGATCAGCTGTTTCCGCTCGCTGCCATCTAGTTTTGACCGTTCAATCTTTGCCTTCAGTGCTATTCCATTCGCTCCCACTGTTAGTGAATCAATCCAATCAGCAAAAAACAAATATCTAGAAAATAGCAGATGCCGATCATGAAAACTGTTAATAAGATGGGAAACACTGATTCCTCGCTTCAACCGCCTCAGCCCGCGAATGCTGTGCGAAAGTCTACAGAAATGGAGTCTCGCCAGTACTTTTCAGAACAGCTCCTGATTATCGCCTTCGCTGCTGCACATTTATGCAAATGCAAACCCACGGTGGAAAG